TCATCAGCATCAGCAGCATCATCACCGCCATCATCAGCATCACTATCATCATCATCGTCATCGTCATCGTCATCAGCATCCCCCTCCCCCTTCTCCTCCTCTTCCTCCTCTTCCTCCACCCACTCCTCCCCCCTTCTCCTCCTCCTCCTCCTCCTCGTCCGTCCCCTCCTCCTCCTCCTTCGCCTCCTCCTCCTCCTCATCATCATCATCATCGTCCTCCTCCTCTCTTCTCCTCCTCCTCCTCCTCCTCCTCCCCCCCCTCCTCCTCCTCCTCCTCCTCCTCCTCGTCCTCCCCCTCTTCCTCCTCCTCCGCGTCCTCCTCATCATCATCCTGGTCCTCATCATCACCATCATCATCATCATCATCATCATCATCATCATCATCATCATCATCATCAGCATCATCATCAGCATCAGCATCATACTCATACTCAGCATCAGCATCAGCATCATCATCATCATCATCATCATCATCATCATCATCATCATCATCATCATCATCATCATCATCATTAACAGCATCACCATCCTAATCAGTATTATCCGCAACACCATCAGCAGCAGCATCATGATCATCATCAGCATCATCATCGTCATCATCATCATCATCATCACCATCAACATCAGAATCATCACCAGTCGCATCAGCAGAATCATCGCCATCCTCATCTGCGTCCTCATCCGCTGCCTCATCCTCATCATCCTTATCATCAGAATCATCAGCAGCATCATCAGCATCATCATCAGCATCCGACTCAGCATCATCATCATCATCATCATCATCATAATCATCATCATTACAATCATTATCAGCATCAGCATCATCATCGACATCATCATCATCAGCAGCAGCATCAGCATCATCATCAGCATCAGCATCGTCCTCCTCATCACCATCCCCGCCATCGTCGTCGTCGTCGTCATCATCATCATCATCATCATCAGTATCAGCATCATCATCATAGTCATCCTCATCCTCATCAGTATCATCAGCATCAGCATCAGCATCATCAACATCAGCATCGCCATCAGCATCATCATCATCATCATCATCATCATCATCATCATCATCATCACCATCGTCGTCAACATCATCATCTGCATCAACAACATCATCATCATCAGCATCAGCATCAGCATCAGCATCAGCATCAGCATCAGCATCAGCCTCGTCCTTATCATCATCAGCATCGTCATCAGCATCAGCATCAGTATCAGTATCGTCACCATCGTCGTCATCATCATCCTTGCCATCGTCAACAGCAGCATCATCATCACCAGCGTGTCCATCGTCGTCGGCATCATCATCACCACCACCTTCATAATCTCCATATGCGTAATCATAATCGGCAGATCATCTTCATCAGCAGCAGCTTCATCATCACAATCAGCATCATCAGCATCCAAATCATCATCATCAGCAGCATCATCATCCGCATCATCATCGTCATCGTCATCGCCATCAGCAGATTCCGCCCCCTTCTCCTCCTCCTCCTCCTCCTCCTCCTCCTCCTCATCCTCCTCCTCCTCCTCCTCCTCCTCCTCCTCCCCCTCCTCGTCCTCCTTTTCCGCCTCCTCTACCCCGCCTCCTCTTCTCTCCTCCTCCTGCTCCTCCTCCTCCTCCGCCTATTCCTCCTCTTCTTCCCCCCCCTCCTCCTCCTACTCCTCTCTCCTCTCTTCCTCTCCTTCTCCTCTTCCTCCCCCTCTCATCATCATCATCCCGCCTCCTTCTCCCCTCCTCCTCCTCCTCCACTCTCCTCCTCCTCCTCCCTCCTCGCTCCTCCTGTTCCTCCTCCGCCTCCTCCTCCCTCCTCCTCCTCTTCCCTCCATCCTCCTCCCCTCGCCTCCCTCCTCCTCTCCTCTTCCTCCTCTCCTCCTCCTCCTCTTCTTCCCCTCCACCTCTCCTCCTCCTCCTCCTCCTCCTCCTCCTCCTCCTCCTCCTCCTCCTCCTCCTCCTCTGTCTCCTCCTCCCCCATTATCCTACATCCCCTTCCCCACTCCCCCATCCTCACATCGCAGTCCGAGCTGGCTGCCCCGAGCGCCCGCGTGCCATCCAGCACGAGGGAGCGCCGAAGAAAGAAGAGTGGCGCCGTGCGTCCAGGAGGCACACACGAGCAATCAGTGCACGGCAGCGAGCGGCGGGTGTTCGCCTGCACGAGGCGCGAGAAAGTGTGCGAAGCGCGCCAGCGCCAACGTCAGCTCGGGGGCGGCCAAGAGGGGGACGTCCAAAGGAGGGGGGGTTGCGCAAATCATGGTCAGCGGCATGTGTGCAGCCCACATGCCCACAGTGAGGCGTATGGAGCGAGCCACCGAGAGAAGTGCACAGTGGCTCCAAGCTCCACATGCATACATGCCCTACGGGCGAGACATCCGCCCGCGCAGCCAGCGTAGGACGGAACGCCCGGTAATCGCACGCAGCGGCAACAGTGCCATATCAGGGCGTGACATGCTACACACTGTGTTGATGGTGAACGCAGACGGACAGGTAGCCATGCGCGCCGATGAGGATACGTTCATGAATATGCCGCTCTCATCTGCACCACACCCTCACATGCACGACGAGTACCCGACGGCCTGGATCTTCGAGGAGAACCCCACCACTGAGGAAGAGGCCCGCGGGTACATGAACGTCTGCACGTCCCTGACGAGGAACGATTGGGTATTTGAGCAGAGGCGTCGCAAGGGCCTGTATGGAACTACACTGTCCGATGCGCCAGGTATATTCGGAGAACGCCATGAATTGGCCCTGGCCGCGAAACGTGTGACCATGGTGGATGGAACGCTGACAATCCTTCTGGGCATCGGCAGCAACATCAACATCGTCGGTCTGAAAACGGCATAGACAGTCGAGCGCGTGTCCCGCTCTCACGGGCACGGCATCAAAAAGCTGAATTTGACGAAGAGGCTTTACGTGTCGGGAGTGGGACATGGTGCCGCCGTCTGTCACCGTGCCATGCTGCGCTGCAGAGCCACTGCTCGAAGTAAGAATGTCAAACTTCTCAGCGGCATCACCCCCGTCTGCAGGTGCCCCTACCTTCACGTCGGGCGGCGTCCACTTGCTGCCCTCCTCGTAGATGGCCTGATAAAACTTCGCCTGCAAGTTCCGCAAGGCGAAGTCCTGGTCGGCCAGTGTGTGAACATTCCCGAAGGACGCGTTCCTGCGATGCCAGGTCTTCAAGGTGTTATTCACCAGGGACTCGATCGTGAAAGCGAACGCATCCTCGTTAATGGAGAAGCAGATGCCCTTGGTATCCTGAGACATCATATATGCATGGGCATCGCTACTAGCGGGTGTCCCCGCACTGCTCGACGCAGGTTGCCCTGCGGTTGGCCCTGCGTCAGCTGCATCCTCGACAAGTAACGGGGCATCTTCGCAGTGAGGATTGGCCGTGGTAGTAAACGACATTGAGCCTTTATCCTCCGTTGCGGTCCCGCACTCGTCGACCTCGAGCGCCAAGTGCCCCGAAGGCGTTTTCATCAAATCAAGTACCCTGGCGCCTTTCCGAAGGAGGAGCTTGTACATCTCAGAGCCGGGGATGACCATGTTTTCGCGCCCCTGCTCCAGGATCAAGATAGTCCTCATGTTGGACAGATTCCTCAGACCCAGGATAGCATGGAGATTTTCCCCTGAACCCTCAGCCAAGTTAGCTGAGTATGCGCCCAGTCTCGGCACAGCGGGTTTCCCCGCAGGATTTCCTTTATCCTTGCACGCAATTTTGCAGCGCAGCATGGCACGGTGACAGACGGCGGCACCACGTCCCACTCCCGACACGTAAAGCCTCTTCGCCAAATTCAGCTTTTTGATGTCGTGCCCGTGAGAGCGGGACACACGCTCGAATGTCTGTGCCGTTTTCAGACCGATGACGTTGATGCTGCTGCCGATGTCCAGAAGGATCGTCAGCATTCCATCAACCATGGTCCCACTGTTCGCGGCCAGGGCCAATTCATGGCGCTCTCCGAATATACCTGGCACTCTGGACAGCGTAGTTCCATACAGGCCCTTGCGACGCCTCTGTTCTAACACCCAATCGTTACTCGCCGGGGACGTTAAGACGTTCATGTACCCGCGGGCCTCTTCCTCAGTGGTGGGGTTCTCCTCGAAGATCCAGGCCGTCGGGTACTCGTCGTGCATGTGAGGGTGTGGTGCAGATGAGAGCGGCATATTCATGAACGTATCCTCATCGGCGCGCATGGCTATCTGCCCGTCTGTGTTCACCATCAACACAGTGCGTAGCATGTCACGCACTGATATGGCACAGTTAGGTACGCTTACCGGGCTTTCCGTCCTACGCGTCTCGCCCGTAGGGCATGTATTCATGTGGAGCTTGGGGCCACTGTGCATTTCTTTCGGTGGCTCGCTCCATACGCGCCACGGTGGCATGTGCACGGCCCACACGAGCAGTCATCATCAGCAGCATCGTCATCAACATCAGCATCAATATCGTCACCATCGTCGTCAGCATCATCATCCCTGTCATCGTCAACAGCAGCAGCAGCATCATCACCAGCATCTTCGTCGTCATCGGCATCATCATCATCATCACCCACATCATCATAATCTGCATAATCATAATCATAATCAGCAGATCATCATCATCATCATCATCATCATCATCATCATCATCATCATCATCATCATCATCATCATCATAATCAGCAGCATCATCATAATCAGCATCATCAGCATCCAAATCATCATCATCAGAAACGGCAACAGCAAAATCATCATCATCATCATCATCATCATCAGCAGCATCATCATCGTCATCGTCATCGTCATCATCTTCCTCCTCCTCCTCCTCCTCCTCCTCCTCCTCCTCTTTCTCCTCCTCCTCCTCCTCCTCCTCCGCCTCCTCCTCCTCCTCCCCCTCCTCCTCCCCCTCCTCTTCTTCTTCTTCTTCCTCCTCCTCCTCCTCCTCCTCCACCTCCTCCTCCTCCTCCTCCTCCTCCTCCTCCTCCTCCTCCTCCTCCCCTCTCCGCCACTATCCTACTTCCCCTTCCCCACTCCCGCATCCTCACATCGCGGTCCGAGCTGGTTGCCTCGAGCGCCCGCGTGCCATCCAGCACGAGGAAGCGCCGAAGAAAGAAGAGTGGCGCCGTGCGCCCGGGAGGCACGCACGAGCAGTCGGGGCACGGCAGCGAGCGAGCGGCGGGCGCTCGGCTGCACGAGGCGCGAGAGAGTGCGGAGTGTGCGAGCGCAAACATCAGCTCGGGGGCGGCACAGAGGGGGGCGTCCAGAAGGAGGGGGGGGCGCAAGTCATGGCCAGCGGCATGCGCACGGCCCAGGGGGGGAGGGGGGGGGGCCAGGGGCGTACATGATGAAACGAGAAGAGGCGCCATGAGATCTCGGGAAAATCTCGGGAGATATCATGGCCCTCGCCATGATATTCACACACACACACACACTCGTCTTCACCCTCCTCCTGGCCGCTCCCGATCAGCTGGAGGGCGGCGGCTTGGGCTGGGTCCCTGGGCCGATCCGCTGTGAAAAGGGTGCAACAGGATCGCGATGCACCTTTCCTCCCTTTGTGAGCGTCGGGGGGGCGTCGCCCCTGCCGACAGCCCCACATCAACCCCCGTCGCGACGCGGCGACGTGACGAGATTGACCCCCGCCGGGGGGGTGCCCCCCACGCTTATGAAGAATGCGCTGCCGACAGGGTGCAACAGGATCACGATGCACCTTTCTTCCTCATACTCCGAGTTTCTTCATAAGCGTCGTGGGGGCGCCACCCCCGCCGACAGCCACACCTCGAACCCCGTCGCGGGCAGCCACCGCGCGCCGAAGGCCCTCCGACCCCCGTCGCGGCGCGGCGACGAGACGAGGTTGACACCTGTCGGGGGGGGTACCCCCTATGCTTATCCAGAACGCGCTGCAAAAAGGGTCCAACAGGATCACGATGCACCTTTCCTCCTCATACCCAGCTGCTCCTCGTACTCCTCAATCTGAGTATCGTTCAATCGATCCCCATCCCCAGCGGCGTGGCCTGGGCTTCACTGGCCGATTTACCTCCCTAGATGGGGATGTAGGCCGTCCCCTTCGGGTTTCGAGGGGTGTATCCCCAACTGGGGCGGTAATTTGGTGGGGGTCTCGGAGGGGGTGGGGATGAGGATGGGGATTGGTGAAACGATACCGGTCCTCGTACTCCTCCATCCTCCCTCCTCGACGCGCGTCTTCTGCCAACGGCGTACTTACAGCAAACCTACCCGACGGGCAACCGCCCACCGAGGCTCGGCACCTCCGCTGTCCACGAGCACGCTGCTCCTCCTCTTCCTCCTCCTCCTCCTCCTCGCTCGCTCGCTCGCTCGCTCGCTCGCTCGCTGCTGCGGGGCCTCTCCTCCTCCTCCTCCTCCTCCTTTTCCTGCCTCCTCCTCCTCCTCCTCCTTATTCGCTTCGCCTCACTCTCCCTGAATTATATAACGGGCCGCTTTTGCGCTCTTTCCCATCATCATCATCTATCATTGTCATCATCATCATCATCATCATCTCATCCATCATCATCATCATCACTCATCACTTCCTCCTCCTCCTCCTCCTCCTTCTCCTCCTGCCCTCCTCCTCCTCCTCCTCCTCCTCCTCATCATCACAATCATCATCATCATCATCATCATCATCATCATCATCATCATCATCATCATCATCATCATCATCATCATCATCATCATCATCTTCATCTTCATCATCATCGTCATCATCATCATCACCACCACAGAAACCGCAGCTCTCCTCTGCAGGCTCTGGAAGCCGAGGCCGCCAGCTCTGGAAACCGAAGCCGAGCGGCCCCGCAGGCGGAGCCCACGCGCGGCAGCACGGGACGCCCTGGCCGAAGAGATAGGCGCGAGCGGCCCACCGAGACCCTGCGAGCGCACCGAGGACGATGGGTTTGCTTTCCACCACCACCACCATAAGGTGGAGGGGGAAGGAGGAGGAGGAGGAGGAGGAGGAGGAGGAAGAGGAGGAGGAAGAGGAGGAGGAGGAGGAGGAGGAGGAGCGGACCGTAGAGAGCAGGTGCAACCCTCTCCCCATACGGCCCACCTGCCTCCTCGGGCGGGGGCGGGGCGGCGGGCGCACCTGGCCAGTGGCCCACGGGCGCCGCGGCGGCGCGTCCAGAGGACGCGGCATTCTCTTTGAGGGGGGTAGCAGCAGCAGGAGGCTCGAACGCAGGGAGGAAGGGAGAGCGGGGATGCAGGGCGAGGGGCGGACAGGACGGCAGTGAGACGAGATTCTGTTCGGCGAAACGGCGCCGCCCGCTGGCCCCAGTTACGGGCGGGAGGCTGTCCCTAGCTCCAGAGTCCTCCGAACCCCACGCAGTGCGGACCCCAAACAGGCCGCCGTGCGGCAGGGTAGGAAGAGCGGGGGGCGACGAGGCGGAGGCATACGGCGCACTAGCGCGGAGCGTGCAAACACTGCTGGGGTGAGGCGAGCCCGCCAGACACTCAACGGGCCCGTCAGGCCACTGCTCACGTCCCAGCTGGGCGAAAGCGGCGACAGTCGCAGGGGCACTCAGAGGATCAGCGGAGGTCCACGAGGGCGCGGGCATACACGGGGCGTTCACGGGGCTGATCGGAGTCCTCAGGTCGGGGTCCGCGTGATATTCAAGAGGGGCCTCAAGCGGAGCGCCGCACGCTCTATCCACGGCATGAGCCTGAATCCGATGGGAGGGCGTCGGTGACCTCGGAGCAGTCACCGACGGTGTCGACGCTGGGACCTGTGCGCATGTGGCTGCCCTCGGGGATGTAGCCGACCTCATCTGTGACCTCGACGTCGCACCCTGTGGGGTCGTCGCCAAGATCCAGCCCCGTCTTGAACGCCCAGCCACCCTGGACGACACAGGCTCTGAGACCCTCACCTCACAATTCACTCGAGCCTGAGGCAATGGGCTCGAGGAGCACCCATGCCCAGGACTTTGCGTTCTAACACCTCCGCGTCCAGGTCGAACAGGGTGGGGAGTACAATGCGCCAATCGAGACAGGCCCTCACAACATACTCCAGATCCCTGAACCGACGGGCTCGAGGAGCACTCATGCCCAGGACTCTGCGTTCTAACACCTCCGCGTCCAGGTCGAACAGGGTGGGGAGTACACTGCGCCAATCGAGACAGGCCCTCACAACTTACTCCAGATGCCTGAACCGACGGGCTCGAGGAGCACCCGTTGTCAGGACTTTGCGCTCTAACACCATGCACCGCCGGGCGAAGGTTGGGAGCCGTACAATGTGTTATCTGAGATGGGCCCTCACAAGATACTCTTGATGCCTGCGCAGGCGGGCTGGAGGAGCACCCACCGCCAGGCTTTAGCGATCTAACACCTGCCGTCGTCGGATGAGTCCAATCGCCATCGTGCAGATCGTGAAGGGGGCCAACGCGTTCAGGGGTAGCCACCGCCGTCGCGGGAGTGCCAGGGGACGCCGAAGGTGTGCACGGACATAGGTCGAACGACACCATATCATCATCTTCAACCTCAACATCACACGGCTCAGGGACCAGACGCGGCGCCAGGCATGGGCTGTCACCCGCATCCATATGAAACTCACGCCCCTCAGCGCCAGGATCAAGGTCAGCGAGGCCGTCACAGCGCTCGTCACTGCCGGGTGAACCCGAAGGCGAGGAAGTCGAGGTCGAAGAAGAGGAGGAGGAGGAGGAGGAAGGCGAACCAGCGCGCCTCTGTCGTGCACGAAAGCGCGTGTGCCACAGCGGCGGTGCATCATCGGCCAGCGCACTAGTGGCAGCCATCCACATGTTCCTGACCCCAGCCAGCGCAGCACTAAAAGCATCTTGTTCCGAGATCGGCCAGTCAGGAATCAGGCGGACCGTGTTGTACATGCTCACAGCGGCAGCGAAGAACCCATAGGCCGAAGTCGACGGCGCCGTGAGACCCCACCTCTCCGCAAGTTCCAGCGGAAAGCCATGTCCAAGGGCACGGCGTAGAGCAGCATGCATGCGCACACATTGCGAGTAGTGGACGAGGGGGTCGGCACAGTTGTGGCAGCCATATGCGCACCCCCGCTTCCCCGCGGGATGGAGGATGCGAGAAGAGGTCAGCCAGCCATCGCACCACGTCCTCAACGTCGCCCAGGCCCAGGAGCAAGGACACTGACCGAGTGCGGCCGAAATCCGAAACCCATCGAGCTCGTCAAGTAGAGCGCCATGTCGGCGGAAGAAGAACTTCTGGAGCCGCAGGCGCAGGAATTCACGAAGTGGGGCAGCCCGCGCAGCGAGATCCCGAATCGCCCGATGGACGGCACGCTGGGGCCGTGCACGAGTGCCAGGCGGGACATCCGCTGCAGCAGCCAGGGCGCTGCGGGCACAAGGCAAGAGCTCGGCCCACGGTCCCGCAAGGGCGGGGCCACACAGTGCCTGCGCTAAGTTCCCGACAATGAATGGATGGGCTCCTCCAGAAGCCAAGGTAGAGCGCACCAGTGCCGACCACGTCCAGCGTCCTGGAGTCGGCAAGCGCGTCAACATGTGCTCGCATGCTGTCCAGTAGCTGTCGGTGTTCGGGGAAGGTGCGAGCAGCGGAGCGCATCAGTGTGGCCAGGTTGGGGCGGGCCCAGCGCTGCACCCGTGGCCCTTGCCATAGGTCAAGTTGTACCCATGCGTTCAGCGGGAAGGTGCCCAGGGCCACCCGATAGATCTGTGCCAACACACCCATCTCGCAGGCTAGCACCGCTCTCGGCATCCAAAAGAACTGACTGACATACGAAAGCGTGGCGATAATACGTGTATTATAAATGGTGGACGAGAGGCTGGCAGGGGTGACGCCTCGTCCAACAACTCGAGCCCGTAAACGAGCCTTGGTGAGCGGGTCGACCCAAGGCCTCATGAGGTCCACAGAAGGACCAAGCCACAACCCAAGATATAAGAGCTCTGAGACCACCTTCATGGAGGACCAGTGGGGGGCCACCTGGGAGAGCCTCTCATGAACTTCCCGAGCAAGGGCAGGTCCAAAGGGGGCTGATAGAGGGGCCACGTGGCACTTCTGAATCTTCAAGACAAGGTTCGCTATCAACTCCGCGTCCCTCATCACAAGGGCGACCCAGGCCATGTCCTCCATGCTCATTAGTGCGCCGCCGATGTCGTCAGCGCACGCTCGCACAAGCCCGCGACCAGCCTCCTCGGTCACGCGGAGGAGGTGGCACAGGAACGGGGGCGACGCGATAGCGCACAGGGAGCCAGACAACGCACAGCCCTGTAGGATCCCACTACGAACCCAACAGGTGGACACGGAGCCCCATAGAGATCGCGATTCCCTCGATGGCCTCAAAAAGGAACCCCACAAACACCAGAATCGCCTCAGGAAGTCGAAGAGCCCCCAAGATGAACAGCAAGAACTCCTGGTTCAAGGAGGGGAAGACCTGGCCGTAGTCCAGGCTGTATAGAATCGGTAGGGCACGCGATCCACGTGGCGCGCAGGAGAGCTGGCGACTCGAGACGTCCAGCCCGAGCACATTCTGGCCAAAGTTCCGACCAGGAACAAAGCCCCTCTGACAAGGAGGAGCCACCCGATCAAGGACAGGGCGAAGCGCTGCATTCACAGTGGCCGAAGGACCTTCACGTCGCCATTGCGGAGCCCGAGCACCCTCACCTTGTCTGCCCCCCTTTCGACCTGGCCGGCTTGGGCCTCGTCCTCGGACACGCTTTTCTGCAAAAAGACTCGGAGCGTCAAGCTCGCAGCATCGAACAACGCCTGGCCCCGCATCACCCACTCCAAACAGCCCCAGAGGATAGCCACACCAAAGGGGTCTGATCCCCACGCCGAGTAAGAGAGTCCATCACAACCAGTCGCCGAGTCGGCAGCCCGAGCAAGCATTGCACGGAGAAGACGAGGAGCAGGGGGAGGGAGCACCACATCACCAACCGAAGGTAGATATTGAGCTGCATACTCAATGGCCATGTCGCGGCCCCAAGGCTTCTTGGAGAACACAGGGCCCCAATAGCTCTTCAGGAGGTCCACCCGCTCGGAGGGGTCGCACGCCGCACGCCCATGCTCATCGGTAACTGCCGTCAGGCATACACGACGATTCAACGGGGACCAAAGACGGGCTCGCCTTTCAAGCGCACGTAGCTGCTTACGTGCGGTGCGCAAATCCTGAGTCTGATCTTTCTGTCTCTGCAACTCAGCACGCGCGCACTCCGCCGCCTCCCGTTGGAGCCGATCAGACCAGGCATGGAAGGACTCAGGATGCATCAACTCGACAGCCGCCCCCTGCACACGGATGAAGTCGGACGCCACGGGGTGGGATTCCAGAAGCCCCCAGGCCAACTTCGCATCCTGACGCCAGACCACCCCAGCTAACGAGCGAGCGAGCTGAAGTAAGGTGGACGGATGATGGGGTCGACGCCGAAAGTCATTATCACGCGCTTCGCGGGCTGCTGCCTCCATGAGGTACTTGTAGTGCTCTAACCGAAAGGGGGGCGATATACTATCCCATTTAGTTCACGCAATCATCGCACGCATCCGCTCCTGGCAACCCAAGTCCTGGAATATGTCTAGCAAGAGGGCGTTCAGCAGGGGGTCGAGCAGCACGAGGGGCAATCGCGACCACAACGGCAGCAAGGTCCGAGACGACCGAGTCCGAGACGGACGCAGCAGAGTCGACGGTGGCAGCCTGGAGGCGATGCTGGCATACCAGCCACCCAGGGAGAGAGAGAGAGAGAGAGAGAGAGAGAGAGAGAGAGAGAGAGAGAGAGAGAGAGAGAGAGAGAAAGAACAAAAAAAAAAAAAAAAAAACGATCAATAAGAGCCTCCGAATTGGACTTTCTCTCGTAGTGCGACGCCATATCGCACTCCACTTCCACGAGCTGCGAGAGGGCCTGACGCCAGACCTGGGCCCGGCCGTGATGTTGCCTCGCAGCACGACGCACAGCGGCTTGAGGCATATGAAGAACAACAGCCTCTTCCGCGGCAAAATTGAAGTCGCCCACTACCAGCGCCAGCCGCTGGGCAGGGGCGCGGAGCGCAGCAGCACGAGCATCAATAATCACCCTGACGACCTCGCTCACCTGCGCCCTCTTCAGGTCATGGTTGTGTACATTAAAGATGCCCACGCAAGTCGGACCGCATTCAATGGCAACGTGCAATTCACGACCAGGCACAAGAGCCACCGCATGACTTCGCACACGTTCTCCAGCTGCCTGACAAAACTGAGGAAGAAGAACTGCAACACCCCACGAATCCTATCCGCATATGAGTCACCACAAAACGACGGGCGCAACGTCACTGACTCCCCAAGCGGACTGAGAAACTCACGCAGTTGAAGCTCATCTTGCCGAACGTCTTGCAGGCACACAATCGAGCGGGCCGGCTGTAGACGCAGGAAGTAGTTAAGCTTGCGGGCACCATGCTTGCCAGCGTGTTGGAGTAATGCCCGGGCATTCCACGTGACAGCACTCATGGAGCACAAGGGGGAGGGAGACGAGGGTGCAGTACATGTGAACAACTTCCAGACGTCAAACATACCACTGCGGCTCTGCTTCAGGCTCGATGAGCGGTGCCAGCAACGCAACGAGCTCGGCCTTGACCAGCCCGTGTTTCGCCAGCTGCTGCGTGTCCCAGTAGGACTCGGCGGGCTTGTTGCCAGGGTGCACCTCCACGCGCATGATGCGACCCCAGCCGATAGAGAGCGTGGCGCGCCCCCTGTCCGTGAAGAGCCGAAGGTGCTGATGACGCGCAGCGATGAGACCTCGAGCCCTGCGCAGGAGAACCTCACTGCGAATCTGGCGTGGCTCCTTCCAGACGCCCTCGGAGCGCAGAGAGCCGATGACCTTCGCCGCCATCCTGGACGCGACAGCCACCAAGCCCTTGAAGCGGATGTGAAACTTCTTAGTCGGCACCACGCCGACGGGAACAATATCGTAGAGGTCGTCGGCCAAGCCCAGGGTGGCGATCCACGGCTCGAGCTCGGCTTCGACGCAGGTCGTGGCAGTCGGCCGCTGGGCCATCGCCACAACCAGCGTGGTGTCCACCTCCCTGTCGAACCCCTGCGACTGGGTGAGTGGTGCGCGCGGGCGCTGCTCTGCCAAGTGGAGCTCCTTCTTGAGCGCGTCCATCTGAGCCTGAACCTCCAGCAACTGAGCCCCCACCCTCGCAACGCGGCCATCCGTCCCATTGATCTGCACCTGCTGGGCATCCAGCTGCGACTGCAGACGTCGGGTGATGGTGTCGAGCTGAGGGCGCACAATCGAGAGAATCTTCTGCTCCAGGTCAGCAGGTGGCTGCGCAAGCTGTGCGCGGAGCTTGTCCAGCAGCTCGAGAGTGGGTTTGTTCTGGTCCTCAATGCTCTGCTTGATGGTGGCCGTGAGGGATCTGCTGAGGTCGGTGGTCAGCTCACCTCGCATCTTATCCAGCATATCGGCACAGCACTGCTTGATGTAGTCTTCGGAGGCATCGTCGTCGTCGTCCAGGTGCTGTGGCATGTCGTCATCCTCGGCACCACCTGCAGACTGGCCATCAGGGGGAAGAGCTCGACGTTTGTGAGCAGCACAACTAGCAACCCGAGCAGGAGCGCAGCCTTGCCTCTGCCAGCTTTGAACTCCTGGGACGGGAAAGTCGGCGCCTGCTCCAGCTGCTCCACCAGAGAGGCGGGATCTCACCTGCGGGAGCACCATCAGCCATCACGAGTGAAGGCCAAAGGACGGGAGGTGAACAGGCGGGGGGCCCAACTCCCGCTGTGAAGGCACAGAAGGACAGCCAGGCACAAAGAGACTGGGCTGGAGAGTGGCCTCAAAGCGGAACCTCCCTCGCGCTCAGATGTCGCCCCGAGAGACTTGCGGTCGTCGGGACGGTTCATTGCCTTGAGCCAAACTGGCTACGGAAGGAGGAGGAGGAGGAGGAGGAGGAGGAGGAGGAGGAGGAGGAGGAGGAGGAGGAGGAGGAGGACCCCCTCCCCCTCCAGCTTGTGGTGGTGGTGGAAAACATGCCCATCGGGGAGGGTGGAAGCACACGCCGCCGGACCCACGCGCGGAACACGGGTGATCAAACGCTGACAGCACAGAGAAGCTCCGAGGCCTGCGCAGATTGCTCAGATAGGCGCTGGAGCCCCCCGGCGTCGCCTCCGGCACTGCCCCCACGGCGCGCTCCGCGCGCCGGGGGAGGGGGGGCCAGAGCGCCGACCCGATAGAATCCGCGCGGACCTCCGAGGTCTGCATGGCCATGTCACACTGCCTGGCCCCCTGCGAGGAGGAGGAGGAGGAAAAGGAGGAGGAGGAAAAGGAGGAGGAGGAGGAGGAGGAGGAGGAAAAGGAGGAGGAGGAGGAGGTTTGCATAGCCATGTCACACTGCCTGGCCCCCTGCGAGGGCGTCTGGGAAGGAGGGCCCCGGGACGAGCATCTGGCAGTCGCGGGGCCCGGGCGAGGACCCCCAGAGGCCCATAGAGGATGAGCAGAGGAAGGAGGAGGAGGAGGAGGAGGAGGTGATGAGGAGGTGATGAGGAGGAGGAGGAGGAGGAGGAGGAGGAGGAGGAGAGAGGAGGAGGAGGAGGAGGAAGAGGAGGAGGAGGAGGAGGGGGAAACCACGCGGGAAAACTGTCTATGGAATGGCTTCTTTGTCTGAGTTTCTCGGCGAGCGCGGGCGCATCCGCAGCCCAGCCGGCTCAGGCCGCGGACTGCGGCGCAGACACGACATGACATTACAAGCCGTTCACGCCTGGTTCGGGCGGAAGGCATGTCGAGTCGAGGCTGGCGCCCAGATGGCGAAAGCGACTACGAAAAAAGCGAACCGCCCCCAGGCGCGAGAGGATGACGAAACAAAAAGAGGGCCACAATTTGCTGCGGCTAGTTCCCGTCCCAATCTGCCCACTGCTTCTCGGGGACACGCTGGGAAGGACACGTTTGTGACCAACCGAGTCACCCCAGACACATGGTTTGATCCCCTAGCGGCGCGCCGTGGAGGAGGAGGAGGAGGAGGAAGAGGAGGAGGAGGAGGAGGAGGAAGCGTTGGACGATGGGGAGGAGGAGGAGGA